ATCACGCAGTGTCTTTGGAAGGTTTGCATTGCTGAATTTAAAGAGTTGTGGCTGACAAGTGCTCTCCTGAAAACTCCCTGCACGTTTCATCGGCCGTGGACTGCACTAGGTGTTGCTCCTTTGCACAGCACACAGGCCCCCGCCTGGAGTGGAGTGGGTTCTGACTGTGGCTGACAGACTTCTAAGTGGTCGCAGAGTGAGTCATAAAAATACTCACTTTCTTACATTCAGTTGTGCCACTTTCCAGAAATGTCTGTCTGCCTTGCTCCATTAAAATACAATTTGATCGCTGTTGTTTGCAAATGTTTTTTAGAGGAAAAAAATGTTTAATCCACTAACGAAGCAAGATAAGTTTCTGGGGAACAGTGAGCCTTCTCAAGGGCTTACCTGGCTTTTCGGGGAACATTAATTAAATCACCCTAAAATGTATGAATACCTCCAGCAATTTATGGAACACAATGGGTGGGTATGTTTTATATCCTAAAAAAAAATAAAGTAAAACAAAATGCATATGGTCAGTAGGTTTGGGAAATTCCAGGGGTAAGTAAAGTTAAACAGATTGTTTATTGCGGGATTTCCTAAATTCTGTTAAATGTTTGTAACTATAAGAGGGGGCCAAAATATGCAGTGACTCAACAATATATGGACTATAAAAGCCTTTTCCATGAAGCACATGACACAGACTTAGTGTTCCTCAGAACATAAATTTTTACTAGTAGTTATTTAAAAACCAATAGAATTTTAAATACTAATAAGGCAGTAATATACTAATTTTTTTTACAATGAGGTATTCAATTCAAAAACATTTTTAAAGTGCTGTAATAGAAATATAAAGGGCAGGGAATTTCAGATAAGATAGTTCTTAAAAAATATAAATCATCCATGACTAGTGTAAATTATTCCCAACCCATAATTCTCAGTTGTCAGAAGTTGGTTGTGATGACTGAGAATTAACAGGTTAAAGCAACTACTGTGTTATTGTATAACTATTGCTATGTTAGCTGCAATGAGAGATAGATAACTACCCTACAACATTCAGCAGTCCAATTGAGGAACTAAGTTTAAATAAGTAGCAAGAAAAAAACAAGTCACTTTAATTTCCCCCTTTAAAAATAAATGTCACCAGCCACCACTGATTAATTTTGGGGGAAGTTCATATCCTTTGTACAGTAAAATTCTTCTAAAATGAAATATTTACTTAGTAGATAACAAAGTAGACATGTAGACTGACATTAAGAGAGAAAAAGTTTTTAAATGCCATGTTATGTAATAAGAAAATGTCATAATTGTGAGAACCTGTTCAGTTATGTGTTTTTAAAATGGCATTTTTACTCCTTAGCTCTCATATACTAGATGTTTTTACCAATATTTGAAAGACAGCTTATTTATCATTCATGTCTTATGAAAATTTGCATATTTATATATTTATCTATCCTGCTCTGAGACTTGTAACATTTTATACAGTTTTTAAGTCCTCCAAGTAAATTCCAATAAATTTGTATTTTGGATTATTCATAGGCCGTCTGAATTTATCTGGGTTGTGGTTTTAATGATAACAATACAATAGAATTTAATGACTAAGTTTCTAGAGTCCCATGAATAAAATATAAAAGATGAATTTAATTTGCAAGACATTAATGAGGAGTTCCTGTGCACCACCCCCCTTCTGATATCTTTTACAAGAAATCTAATTATTTTCACTCATTATAATTATGAAAGCTGTAAAAGTCAGGTCATATATATTTGCATATGTTTTATTTTTTAATCACTTTGAGGGACTGCTAACTGTTCCTCCAGAGAAAATTCAAAGAAAAAGAAAACTAGGTCTGCTTTCAGGTAATCCACATGGTATCTGAGCTTGCTTTGAACTCGACTACCATTGCACTGTCAGGGATTTTTGGTCTTTCATCTTCAGAAATCGATGATGCAAGCACATCTGTTTCCTTTCCATTTGCAATATTATATACTTGGTTAAACCAAAATGAAGTCAAGAACATTGGGGTTTTTAAGACCAGCACTAGCCAAGTTGTATACACAACACATTGCTCTCTGGTGTCAGATTCCAAAATCCTAAATATCAAAATAAACTTCAATGTTTTATTATAATTTCCAAACACTTTGGAGAGTTCTGTAAGTGTCCTTGATTGAACAGCTGGGTTTCTCATTGTGCACATCCTTGTATTTGCTCATGAAATAACAGCAAAGGTATTAAAAAGAAGGTACTTGCTAACCTTGTTGAGCATTGTATTTTACAAGTAGAACTCAACTTTTTTGCATAAAAACTCTATATCATCATCATCATCATCATCATCACCCCAATTTACAAGTGAGAAAATGAAACATAGAGAGCAGTTAGGAAACTTGCTCGGCTATTACATAAGGAGAGCTATATAATGAAGAACCTTTGGATTATTCTATGTTGTTATTGGGTGTCTTTTTTATTCATTCAGAAGATGTTTAATGCCAGCCATGTGCCAGGTAGTGTGACAGGAGCAAGAGACAGAGGTATAAACATGATGAATACCTTATCAATGCCAAGCGTCTGGATAAACCACCATTGCCCAAATCCACCTGTGCATTGCATAATTATTTTGTTAATTCTATTATATATTCAGGGTTGAATATATTCGCCCTAAAATGTATGAATACCTCCAGCAATTTATGGAACATGTCTGGGTGGGCATGTTTTATATCCTAAAATAAATACATAAATAAAATGCATATGGTCAATAGGTTTGATAAAAGTCTGGGTTTCATAATAATGTTTCTATCTATTTAACAGCTGCTAGGCATCTCCTATGCAACTGTAGAGCAGTGCCATAGCTGGTGCCTCTTGCCTGCAGAGAGCTGCTGTTAGATTTGTGGTGCTGGACAAAGACGGTAGATACTGGAGAGAGGAAGCTGCAGGACCAGAAACACACCCCTCACTAGGTTAGACTTAATCCTCTATTGGAAATGGTGAGAGTTTCCTCTCAACCTCTTCTTCTGAAGATGGCTGCATTTGACAAAAGCTTTTATAAGAAAGAACACATACACACACAATTGCCTTCTGGTTTCATAAATACCTTTATTTATGCTTATATACCAATTTTGCAATGCATTTCTAACTATCGAGGTTAATTCTCTAAGCAAATTTCTTTTATCTTTCCATTTTAAACTATTTTATCAAAGGTGGGATTGTCATTGATTTAAAACAATTTCATAACAGAGATGTGTGCAAATAACAAATGAGAAATTAGGTTATATTTGAGATGAAGCTCTGAACTGTGAGGGTCCCCAGGGTCATATTAGGAAAGTTCTCTTTTAGGACAGATACCGCCGTCCTGAGGATAAATTAAAGAATATAATGAGGTAGATTAATGGGGGGTGAGAAGCTCTTTTCTGAGAATCTGTTTCTTATGCCATTCCCTTGAACTTTTCTTTAAAATCAAAGTTTTATATGCAGAAAGACATTATCTAACAAAACAAAGGGCTCTAAGTGAGATCACACTAATAAAAATGTCGGTGGTTTATAATATAATAAAACTACAATTTTGGTTACAACATAATTTAAGATGTTCTCAACTAAACAAGCCTTTTCAAAATCATTAGCTATTATCCAGAAGCCTATAGATGCAAAACCAGAAGTTCAAGTCTCAAGAATGCTTGCAAAGAACTGTATGACTGCATCATTGCACCTATGAATGAGGAGGACTGCAAATTTCTAGAAAAGTTAAGACGCTGCCTGAGCTGTGCTATAGTTTATATAAATTTTCAAATCAAGGGCATTGCAGTTCTTTGAAAAATATTTTTTTCCACTTTTATGGATGTCTTTCTCTCTCTCTTTGAAGGCAATGTTGTTTCTTCAAAACCATAAGAGCTAAGAGTCAGAGGATTGTAATTATAGACCTCAGTGCTACACTAGCTAGTCACATGTCAAAAGGCAAAGAACTTAGGCAATCTTTTTAATTTGTTTCATTGCTTTTGAAATTGGGGGAGCAATATCTGTCCTGTTTCCTATACTTTAAAAATTCAACTATCGAGATACAAAAGTTCTTTGAAGAGATAATTAGGATACACAAAGATAATATATTCTTTTATGGGAGGTTGTGGGGGATTAGTTCATATAATATCAGTATTCACTGGATTTCATTGCATGCTTCCCTGTACAGCATTGTTTACAATCTAATATGTGGTTATTCGTTGCAGTTACTTATTAGAATATATGTGCTTATTCTACTCTGCCCCACGGATTGAAAATATCATTATAACAGAGGACATGTCTTTATTGTACAGAGTCCTATCCCCAGCATCTATGCATTGATGAGCATAGTACATGCTCAGTAAATAGTTGTTGAATGAATGGAAGTATACCTCCTAAATGCACTGTTCATTGATAGTGTACACAATACATTTGTATTTATTTCTTGAAACTATTAGAATCAATGTTGTTTTGAGGTTTGTTTTGGAGAGAATTTTGGAATTCAGATATGCTACAAAATCAAATTTGGAGGTCATGTCGATGAATATTAACAAATTAATGACTCCCTTAATAATCATTTCTCTTCTGACTTGAAACTCAAATATCTTCTATGGAGGGGAGAAGTTTGATAGTATTCAGTGCTGTATTGATAACTTAAATGATATTCCTCTTCTTTCGTCTTCTCTTAGAGCGCCATCAGGGTTATGTAATAATATGATAATGTTTGAGAGAATGAGATTCATACTCAGATAAATCTAGGTTCAAGTTCCAACTATGCCACTTCCTAGTTGCAAGACTTAATGTGAGCCGTTAATTTCCCTGAGCCTGTGATTCCTCTTGGGGGCCTAATTATGCTTCCCTCATGAGTTTGTTGTGGGGATTAAATGTGCTAATATACTTGAGGTGCTTAGCATGGTACCTAACATATAATAATGCCCTCTAACTATAGCTATTGTCATTTACATAATTCATCTACTAACCTTATTCTGTCTGTTTTTCATTTTGTGCGTCTGTATGTGCGTGTGTGTTTTCTTTACAGATGGGTATACCACTGACGACATTGAGTTTTACTGGCGTGGGGAAGATAAAGCAGTAACGGGAGTGACAAAGATTGAACTTCCACAGTTCTCTATTGTAGACTACAAACTCATCACCAAGAAGGTTGTTTTCTCCACAGGTTTGTATCAGGGAAGAAGGTTAAGGTAAAAGAGTCATCATCGTTTATAAACAGGGGTCACTTATATCAGGATCGGGTCCCAGGGAAGGATGGTGACTCTAGAAGACGGATCTGCTGAAAACCCGCAGGTCCCCAGAAAGCCCATTGCTCATTTGCAGCCCATCTGGTTACTTTCCTGAAGGCACCCCCAGCAATGCTGAGAGACTTAGCGCTGTCTCTCTGATTGGCCAATGAAGGGACTAATTGTTGTGCACAGGATAGAGAAAGGAATGAAGACCTGGGTCAGTTGTTCCCCTGATTGTATGCATCTCACAGAATTGATCGTCATTCTTTCAAATACGCTGGGAATAACCAAGTCACAGTTCACTCAAGTCTGACCACAGTGAAGTTCTCTGAAGAGAGTAGGGTAGGAGAATTTCACATTTCCCTCGGAGGACGGGAATTGCTTTATGTAGTGTGACTCCCTGTTTTGCAGGTAAACACCTTTCCAGATCCTGAGGTTATCCTGATGCCTTTGCTGCCCTTACCCTGCTAGTATTGAGGTTTTAGGTTGTCAAACTTGGTTTAATCAGCACCAATTTTTAACAAGAAAGCCCAGTAAAGTGGTAATTTGCTACGTCACTCATTAAGAGGGAAAATAATCAGCCCACAGGAATATGTCTCATTGAAGTGAATCCCGCACATGGAAATAGCTAGCCCTATAACTGTAAATTTTGAGTTTCCCCTCTGATTTGGGTACTTCCTGTCCCTAAAAACAATTTCAGGCAAGAGTTGCATGACTTAGTAAGAATACAGTGTAGGCTTTGGCTTAAAAAAAAAAAGATCAATAATAACAGAAACTTTTCGTAAGTATGAAGTCTTTTGAATTGCTGAAACTCTATAGAAATGAGTTCCTACTTAAAATACTCTTACTTTCATATCAAGACACTATTTATCAGTGTGAACCATTTATGTTCTAAGGCTGTGCTCTGTTACATATATTGTCTAAAGTATAAATCCCTGATCACCACAATCAAAGGATCCCGCTTCAGGAATGTGATGGTTTAGTTGTATCTCCCACAGATATTGCTCAGGAATAGTGATTCTCCATCTCTGAGTAGGTCAGGGATCCCTTTATGAACGGGGTGGGGAACCTTTATTTCTGCCAAGGGCCATTTGGATATTTATGACAGCATTCGCGGGCCATACAAAATTATCAACTTAAAAATTAGCCTGCTCTATTTGGTCAAACTTAATTAACTTGCCACTAATGCCTTGGCAGAGCTAGACCAAATGATTTTGTGGGCCTTATGTGGCCCATGGGCCGGACGTTCCCCACCCCTGCTTTAGAACTTGGATGAATACACTGATTTTAGAAAAAAAAAAAATGATGCCTACACTTGAAACCCATCCTGAAATTTCAGGGAGTTGCGGCATTGTCTGAAGTACAGCCATTGACCCAGACTTAAAACCATCCTGGGGCTTTGTGTGTGAAGAGCTAGCTATCTTTTACTAGCATCAGAGTGTGCAACCTGATTCTTATATGCAAAACATACCTTAACGGGTGGACTAGCTAAGAAACAATTGAGGAAAGACAAAGGGACTGTCCCAAATTGTTTTGTCATCACAGTTTTAGATAATGAGTATTTTTTGATCCAGTACCTGAGGCCGAGCAGAGAAAACCGGGAATTCCGTTAATGATGAGAATGGGATGTAGTCAACATGGAGGAACTCCTGTCAATTAAAAACCCAGTGTTCTCAGACATCTTTTGCAGAAGAAAGTGTTTACTCTTCACCAGGAGCTAAACTTGAATTTAGGAAAATATACAGACTGTTTAGGGGCCTTTAAAGGAAAGTATCCTACAAGTATTGATTGGTAATGATTATCTAAAATTGCCTTTCTAGGTTCCTATCCCAGGTTGTCCCTCAGTTTTAAGTTGAAGAGAAACATTGGATACTTTATCCTGCAAACGTATATGCCTTCCATCCTGATCACTATCCTCTCTTGGGTCTCCTTCTGGATTAATTACGATGCTTCAGCTGCAAGAGTGGCATTAGGTAAGCCATTTTCTGTCTGCTTGCGAAGTTGACTCATGCATGCGTGCGTGTGTGTGTGAGTGTGTGCATGCATGTGTGTCCAAAAATGCACTTTCTTTCCCTGGAATTTGTAACACATGATGAAACCAGACTGCACACATTACAAGGATTTGACTCTGAGACTTTGGGTGATCTGATTCAGCGTAAAATCAATTAAACACATATTAAAGCTCTTTCATGTCAAAATTAGTTAACTAGATAGCTGTTGGTAATGTAATTAGCCCCATCCGTGTGATATTTTTATTGAAGCATAATTCATGTAATATCGCTTGATAATTACTAAATTTCTATCTGTGCTTCTTTACCTGGGAAGATGTCCCTCCCATCTTTTTGTTTTCTGAGCAAAAAAACAGGAAATGTAGTGTGTAAAAAGTAGCTAAGCAGAAAGAAGTCTAAAGTCTTATGAATATTTTGGACTGGCATGGCAGGGGACAGGAAAAAACCAAGCAAAAATTTTGGGAAATAATCTATGGCATCAGATATCTAATGCTTGATTTTTCTTTTGTTATAAGACCAAAGAAAGAGAATAAATTCTATTTCATGGACATTTTTATGATGCTAACTCCAGATATGGTAAATTTATGACCTTTTACACAATCTTTATTACTCTGAATTCTGACTAATTCCTTTCAATTTTGAAATGTTAACTCCTCCACCATGAGATCTCAATGCAACTGTTACTTCCTTGGGGAAGTCATTTATTTATTCATTCAACAAGTACTTGTTGAATGCCTACTATGTGCCCTGCCAGATACTCTCAGCACTGGAGATGAATCTGTGCCCTTCTGGAAGTTATGTTCTAGCAGTCAAAGATAGACAATAAATTGAATAGCCATGCAAATTATATAATATGGTCAGTTTGTTGAGGGAAATAAGCAAGGGGGAGGTTAGTTATGCCAGGGGGTACAGTTTAGAATAATCAGGGTAGGATTTACTCAGAAATTGTCAATGGGACAGACTTGAAGAGGATGAAAAGCCACAGTTACCTGGATAAGAATATTCCAGTCCATGGCAGTGAGGCAAATGCAGAGAGAGTTCAGGAGCTAGGATAGTGTGTGTGCGCGGGGACGGAAAGATTATGAAGTGGTTTGGGGGCCATAATAAAGGCTTCGCTTTTATGCCGAGCAACACAGTTATTGAGCAAAGAAGTAACATGATTTGATTTCAGTTTTGAAGGAATCACGTTGGCTGCTGTGTTGAGCTTAGACTGTGGTAGTAAAGGAAGGAAGGGAGAAGTAATGACCTCCTGTTCTGAGTCCAGTCCCTGTGCCTTAACCTCTTAAAGTGCTAGAGAGCCCCCCTCTGTAGGGCAGCCACTGTTACGCATTCTTTTGGTTTATGATGTCATTTTCCTCCTGGTACTGGAAGATCCTTTGGAGAAAGGTCAATATCTAATTTTGCTTCCATTACATCTATAGTGTCTCTCATAGAAAATGATGTTCAGTAAATATTTGCTGAATAAAGGGATGAATGAAATTTGTAAATATCTTATTTCAAAGTGAATATTTGTTATCTATTTTATGTCTATTACATGAATAATAAGTAATATATTTACTTCTTTATATAAATTTTATTTTATTTTTTCCATCCCCATTTATCCCTTCTATACCCTCTTCCACCCCCGCCCCCTGAAATCACCACACTGTTGTCCATATTCATGAGTTCACTCTCTCTCTCTCTCTCTCCTCTTTTTCCCCCAATTCATCCATCTCCCTATGTGAACAATTTATTACTAGGTCAGAAATGCCTTAAAATGAGATTTAGATAAATAGTAAAATCAGCGTTGTCAGTTTTATGATATACATGCCATACAGGATAATCTGTGGTTGACATAAAGAAGAGAAAAATGAAATTGGGAAATGTTTCAAAGAGATTCATATTGTAATAAAAAAGAAACATCTGAGAACTGTAAGATACCTAGCTCTAAAGCAAGGCCAGGCTTTTTCTGGTCATGCTCAGAATCAGATGTTCAAATTTATTTTTTCTGCTGAGCCAGTGTTGCCCAGTAGTTGAGCATCGACATGCACCAAAATGTCACTGGGTCAAATCCTGGTCAGGCCAGAGGCCTGGGTGCTGGGCTCGATACCCAGTGAAGGACATGCAGGAGGCAGTTGATAGATGTTTCTCTCTCATTGACATTTCTATCTCTCCCTCTCCTTCCCTCTCTGTCTAAAATCAATTAAAAACACACACATATCTATTAAAAAATTATTTTTTCTATATTTGTTTTAGGAGCATGTATACAAATAAGATAAAAATTATGATCTTATTAGAGAGAGAAAATTAAATCAGGAAACGTATGTTCCAAAAAAAATCACAGAAATGAAACGTAACTTCTGGGATGTGTTATTAGGTAGTGTTTAAGGACACAGCTTTCTGAGTTGGAGAGGTCCCAGTTCATATGTAGACTGCCTAACCTCCCACCTGCGGGATCTTGACTCTGAGCTCTGCCTATTTTCACAAGGAACTTATCCTACCAGGGACTCTGGACCCCCGTGCTTTTTCCTGCATAGCAATGTCTATCCCTCCAATCATACCTTTGAGGGAAACTACTCCCCCAGTTAGAGGTGCTTACATAGCTGGACGAATAATTATAATTATAAATGCTATTGCTTAGTGTGGCATTTTCCATAAGGAATCTTGCAATACTTCTGTATACTTTATCTGTGTATTATATGCCTCGGTGCCCAATTTAGAAACATGAAGGTTAGGTTTCAACTTCTATATTATCCTCCATCTGCAGTTTCCACATTTTTACAATCATTTGTCCATATCATCTATAAAATGCATTATTGATTTTTGTACTGTTGTAATTATTTTATTTCCCCTTCCTAACAGATTATTCAGGGGGCAGGGGGGAACACTTTTAAGGAGTATTCTTTATTCCTGTCTTGAATGCTTCTCTATACCTGCCCCCATAGCTACCAGAGTGACTATCATAAACACAATTTGCCCCTTTATCTCCCTGCTCCAAGCTGGCCAGTGGCCCCACATTGCCTATAATTTCAAGGTCAGACTCCTCATTAGGCTCTGTACATATGGCCCTCCATGATGTAGCTCTTACTTAACCGTCTGTCTCCTTACCATTCTTCCCACCATATCCTCACGTACCCACGTTGACTTTTTGGGAGTCTTTCAGTGAGCTGCATACCTTCACCCCACACAGAAAGCTCTCTCTACCGCCAATGCCCTTATGTCTAACTTGAACTTCACTTTTGACCTTTAGTCCTGGGTTGGCTGGGTCACTCACACTCATTCTTCAAAACGGAGCTCCAAAACCTGTGTTTCCTCTATATTCTCAACATACAGCCTACAGGTATCTACCACAGCAGCATTTAAATCACTTTTCAACCTCCTCCCATTAGATATATAACTGTAATATATAAATATAACTAAAGAAGGATTCTAAATAAGTAATGTTTATTACAAATAGATGATTTGTGCATATCTCCAGGGCCTGTCGCAGAGCTGGACTATAATAAGTGCCCAGTGAATATTTTGTGGCATATAGGAATGACTAAAAGAGTACAGTAATCTTTCCAGCTGTAATGAGAGCAGCGAGGACACAGGAGCATCATTATTCTAACTCTCTTTTTTTTCTTTTCCCAGGAATTACAACGGTCCTTACAATGACCACCATCAACACTCACCTCCGGGAGACTCTCCCTAAAATCCCCTACGTGAAGGCCATTGACATGTACCTGATGGGGTGCTTTGTCTTTGTTTTTATGGCCCTTCTGGAATATGCTTTGGTCAACTACATCTTCTTTGGGAGGGGACCCCAACGCCAAAAGAAAGCAGCCGAGAAGGCGAGCGCCAACAGTGATAAGATGCGCCTGGATGTCAACAAGGTAAGTGTGGGGGCAGGCCTTCCTTGCTTCTTAAACTCATAGAAGAATGCCAGCAATATAGGTCAGAGGTCTTGTTTAACAAATGAGGAAACCATGGCCCAGGGAAGAGAACGGGTAATTTTCCACAAATCGTGAAGATAATTAGCGATGGAGGCATAATTACAGCCCAAATCTGTGACACAACATTTAGATGCCCTTTACCTTAACACTAGGGTTGCCCAGACCACAGTCACCTGAAAACCACCTTGGTGACTTTTTCAATATATGAGTATGATATGTGCTATTATTTACTTTATATTTCTTGAATTTTACTCACATTATTTAAATTTATTTAAAAAGGAAATTTTGTATCACATAAATCAGTATTACTTGCTAAAAGATAAGCTTAGGTATAAATAAATAAAAATTTTAATGATGTTATTAAATACTAGGTTATACTAGATGAAGGCTCGGGGCCTGAGCTCTGCATGCTCTTGGATTTAGAAGGGAGATAAGCAAGTACAGAGATGTATTTAAGACTTACTAGCAGCAAACTGAGACTTTCTCTTTGAAGTCATCAGAAGGAGGGGGGGGGCGGGGGAGGGGAGAAAGGAATCATTTTCTCCTTAAGTGACAGATAATTACTAAAGGCCTTGCACATGTGCCACTTAAAATCACTGAAGCATTTGAATACAGGAGGCCACTATCCTGCTTAAATCAGGCACAAGCAAAGAATAATTCCCAGTTATAAACTGGTTCATTCTTTAAGGCAGTAATTCTCAGCCTTCAGCACCTGGTTGAATGACTGGGAGAGCAGTAAAAATACTGAAGGCTGGGTGTCTTCCCCAGATATTCCAATTTGATTGCCCTGAGGTATGCCTGGGCATCCTAGTTCAGAGTGCTGGAACTAGGAAGACAGTAATCCTTCTAAACCTCTGGAACTGTTACCCATACCACTGATTATATAACTGATGTTTTAATATTTCGAACGTCAATTTAATTCCAAGGATAGAAGACCATAAATAACATCTATCATTGAGTTTTATTTGGAGCAAATCCAGTGAAAGCTGCTGGCTCACTAATGTCTCCACGTATCCATAGGTCTGATAATTGATGGGCTATTCTCTAACCAAAGGCACTCCTTTCCTGGGATATGTTATTTGTAAGGATGCAAATCTTACATAAGGCCCTTGAAAGCCAAGGAACCAAGGCCTGGGAAATTGTCAGTTTCTTTCTAGTGTCTGAGGCAGTGGTTCTCAACCTTTTGGCCCTTTAAATACAGTTCCTTATGTTGTAACCCAAACCATAAAATTATTTTTGCTGCTACTTCATAACTGTAATGTTGCTACTGTTATAAATCATAATGTAAATACCTGATATGCAGGATGGTCTTAGGCGACCCCTGTGAAAGGGTCGTTCGACCCCCAAAGGGGTCACGACCCACAGGTTGAGAACCGCTGGTCTGAGGTTTCAGTTATTGAAAACTGTCCATAGATTCCAACGTAGCATTGAGGCTCTCGGGCTGGGCTATTTGAACCCATTTTATGATTGCCCTGATACAGAGGCCTTAATAAAGGAAAGGAAAGGAATAAATAAATAAATAAATAAATAAATAAATAAATAAAAGCTGTCTCATATTCTTGCCATTTGAAATGAGTCTAAATCAATTGCCTAATGCAAAGCTGACTTAATACCATCTGATCTTTTTTTTTCACTTTCATCTCTCCAATTTTTTTAGACCAATTTGCATTTAAATGACAAATTTAAGACCTAGAGAGTGGCATGTTGACAACAAACTGATGGTTTTAAATTCAGGGTACTGAGGTGGAGGTGCCCTGTGGTGGTGAAAAAGCTGGTTCTCTTGGCTGACGGTGGACCCACAATTCAGAATATAGAATACGAGAGAACAGCAGACATACCTACACTTCTTCTAGTGCAGTGACCAAAACGCAGGCAGCCATGCCCCAGGGATCTCTGGGCATGCAGACATTTCAAAACAGGGGGGAGGGGGTTGCTTCTGGTACTTAGTGAGTAGATACAGGCCAGGATGCTGCTGAACAGCGATGGTGCATCATGCAGCTTCCCCATAATAAAGAATTGTCTCTCCTAGAATGTCAATGTCACCCAGCTAAAGACCCCTGCTCTAGTCCAATTCTCTGACTTTAAGTAATGAGAAGCTGAGGCCCAGAAACAGTGTTTGTCCTAGTCTTAAACTCTCTAAGACAGGTGGTTTCTCCACTTTCATTGATCACCAAGCATAGCATTAGAAGAGCAGGAGTTACCATTTAGCACAATGTTAGTGAAGAACTATTTTGAGGTCAGTCAAGTGCAAGACTTACTCTCCGTTTAATAGTTGTGTGACAATAAGCAAAAGAAAATGAGTCTCGCTAACCTTCAGTTGCCCCATCTGTAAAACAAGGTTAATTCCTCTTTCATAGTTTTTTTATGAAGAGTGTTTGTGATACTGTATAGAGGGTGTAACATAGTCCTCAGTACATGGTATGCACTCAGTAAGTGGAAAATATTAGTAATATATTAAAATGTTATACACAGTAGACATTATCCATCTAGACCTGTTGGCAAAGCTTGCTTGTGTATTTTACACGAATAGCTTATAACAAACTCGGCTCATGAGCCACATGCGGCTCTTTGGCCCCTTGAGTGTGGCCACGAAGTTTCAATCGCACTGTATGTGCGCACCCGCACGTGGTATTTTGTGGAAGAGCCACACTCAAGGGGCCGCAGTTTGCCGACCCCTGGCTTATAGGATGCACTTCCATCCCTAAAAGAGGGAATTATCTGCGGAGAAATGTTTCAGGTCAGAAGTTGTAAAATCAAAGCAGGGAAATCATGTATCATCAACAGGTATTAGCTTTAGAATCCATAGCACATGTACTACTTCAAACGGTATCAGTCATTTCTGAGGTCAGAATATTGAAGCTCCTTGATTAGATTAAGGCCTGAAGGTGACCAGCAGCCTTTCACATGCCCCTGGTTTCCTTTTGACCCCAGCACGAAAGGTTAGGGGAGACCCACCTGGGGTTCTGACTGCACAGAGCTTTCTTTGTGCGAGTGTCATGATAGTACCACCCTATTTTTTTTAATCAATGATGTCCCTTTTTTCCAACTGTAATTCTTAAGTTATTTTTTTGTTGTCCAAAGATTGGGCACATCTAATCAGCTAAGTATTGTTGGCTGCTTTGGAAAAATCAGCCGGTAGGGAGGGGATTGACTTTTTCATGATCCTTT